GGATGGGGAGGCCAGGGGTCCCTGGGCTCCTTGAGCCCCGGGTGCCTGCTCCCTGTCCACCTAGCAGAGCCAGGGGTGAGACTTGGGTTCCAGAACAGCTGGGCTGGTGGGTGGTGGGCAGATCTGGGGAGAGGCGCCCCTGCCCTCCGAACCCTCGCCCCACTGTCAGGAGCAGGCGGGGTGCTTTGCAGGGCACTGAACTCCCCACCGGGGGCCAACAGCTGGAGGCAGGGACGGTCACTGCCAGTCACCTGGCCCTCGACCACCCTGAGCCCGCCGGCCCCTCGTGGGGCTCTATGAGGGTCCACAGGGCATGGGGACGGGGGACGGAAGGCCTTGCCAGGAGCAGTGGGACTTGGAGCACAGGGCCCCGGGATCCCAGCAGCCTCCCTGCAGCTGGCTCTGGGGGCCGAGGCTCTCTGGTCAGCGTGCCTGGCATCTCTCCATGAGACGTGGAGGGTGGTGGTGGCCCAAGGGTGGCTTGGCAAAGTCTCAGTGGAGGCAGGGGCCAGCTGAGGAGCCCCAGGTCCTGCACCCCTGTGTACCTCACCTGCACACCTCACCTGTGCACACACCCAGGACTCTGTTCCTGTACATCTCGGGCCTCCAGGCCATCTGAGGGGGTGCTTGGGCATGAATTCTCAGGACCCAGAAGGCAGTATGATCGTGTGGGAGCAGCAACCTTGCAGATGCTGGGGGCCGTAACTAACTCCCCCGGTGCCAGCATAGCTGCAATCGCCACCCTCTGGCAGGAGCAGAGATGAGGGCCTGGGGGGTCACATCCACCTGAGGAAGGAGGCTTCAGAAACCAGGGCTGTGCTTAGAGGCATGAGGCCAGCGGCAGGCCAAGGGGTGCTGAAGCAGAGGAGGCAGAGGAGCGGGCCGGAACCAGACTTCCTGCCAGTGCAAGGATTCTCTTTTAGAGAGAGTGTGACCAGACCCGCCCACGATGCCAAGGACCCCCTTGGCGGAGAGGGTGCCTGCCAGGCTAGGTGGGGGCTTAGTCCTCCGGGACCGTCCACGGGTCAGAGAGCAGTGTCCAGTGTCCTGTGCAGGCCCTGGGGATCGTGGGCTGCAGCCCACCCAGAGCTTTGCCCAGGCAGTCTGGGCCTGTCCACCCCCCACCCCCCCCCCTGCCGCTCTGTGCCCCCGGCTGCATCTCCCGTTCATCTCAGGGGCCCTCAGCCGAGCTCTCCCACACAGTCCCACGTTCGGGAGGTAACGCCACTCACTATGAGCAGCCCTCACCCACCTGTGCCCTCTGCAAGGAGCCACCTCTCTGCTGCCACTTCATACATGGCCACAGCGCACAACAGTGCCTTCACGGTGGGCCAGTCTGTCACGTGCACCCCTGTGCACCTCACCTGCACCCCTCATTTATGCATGCACACCTGTCGACCTCACCTGTGTACCGTGTACACCTGGCCGCCTCACCTGTGCACCACGCACACCCGCACACCTCACCTGTACATGCACACCTGCCCCCCCACTTGGGCACGCAGACCTGTGCATCCCACTGCGCACGTCACTGCCATCCTCACCACCGGCCCCAGCTGACCAGGGGAGACAGTGTTGATCACAGACCACGTGCCCGCTCTGCACAGGTGGATTACGAGCTCGCAGCCAAAGGCTTTGCGGTCCTGCTTGGCTGAGGCCTTCAAAGGCCAGCAGGCAAGGCACCCACTGCTGCCAGCGCAAGCCTGAGAATCTCTGTGGCCCCGGAGTCCCCCCACTGGAAGGCCTGCCCTCCCCACCGTCCTGGGAGAGCCTGTGGTTTCATCTCCAGCCCTCTCAAGGAACAAATGGTAGAGGCAGCAATGGGAACCCCATGGGGCAGCCTCGAGCCTCGGAAACTTCGTGACTTGGTGTGGTCACCACCTGGCCCCAAGCCCACCTCAGCTCCTGCAACTAACACCCAAATGCACCTGCAGAGGCCACGCTCACTCCCCCTCGCCAAGCCCGTGACACCACGAATGGTTGGCTTTGCCACCTGTGTGCACCCAGACCCCAATCTTCCTTGGAAGGACCACGTGGTCCAAGGCACCACCTGTCCCTGGGCACACTCCGTCCCAGCCTGGGCAGAGCCAAAGAGACACACTTTTCCTGATGCTTCTGTGAGTCTCACCTGGATGAAGCTGCCGCCAGGAAGGTGGGTGCTAGCCCACAGACACCAGAACCAACTCCCAACAACACTGACTGAGCCCCTAGATCAAGCTGTGCTTGAAGCCCAGACCCAGTTATTCGAGCTGATTCATTTCCAGTTTTGCTCATGCCCAGTTAACTTGAATCTTCACCAACTTCAGAGATGTGGTTATGTCAGTCCAGCCTACGCCGACCTCTGGAGTGAGGGCACGCACCATCTTGCTATAAATTGCTAAGATGCTTCTGCTGGAGGAAACAGAGACTCCGGGCGATTCTGCTGGTGTTCCGGGGAGGCATGGATGGAGGGGGTGTCCCTGGTGCCAGCAGGCCTGGGTGCCACGGGCCCCCTCACTGGTCCGCTCGCTCGTGCTTTCCTGTTCTCTCCCCCACACACGCAGGATCATTAGGAAAGGAGGACGTCGCTGTCCGGGCAGACGAGGGCTGAGTCCGGGGCCACATCCAGCCGGGCGTTGGGTGGGGCAGGCTGTGGAGGCGAGCCTGCCCCGGGGAGGACAGGGCAGACGCCGGGCTGGGCCCTGGCCTGGCTTCAGGGAGGCACTGGCCCCTCGCCGCTGCAGACGTGAAGCGTGCTCAGGGGGACAGAGCTGCCCTCCGCCCGCCAGGACTTCTCACAGAGCCCCCCGGGGGGGGTGGTCACCTCGTCCCTGAGGCCTGGGGGAGGGCTCCTCCTCCGAACTCCACCTGGATTGCCAGGCTGTCACCTTCTTTTTTACTGAGGTCAGATTCGCAAATACATCTTTTTTTTTTAAATTTTGGAGCCAGGGCCTCGCGGCATCACCCAGGCTGGAGTGCAGTGATGAGATCGTAGCTCACTGCAGCCTCCAACGACTGGGCTCAAGGGATCCTCCTGCCCCAGCCTCCTAGTCGCTGGGACTACAGGCACGCCACTCTACCAGGCCAGTTTTTTTAAGAGCTGAGGTGATTTGCCACTTAAAGCAAGTAACTCAGGGAGCTCTCATTTAGTTCACAAGCAGGGCTGTGCAACCACCACCTCTGTCTGGTTCCAGAACGCTTCCGTCACTCCAGAAGGGGCCCCCTGTTTGCTAGCCGTGGCTCTCCATGCTCGCTGGGTCCGGCACCCACAGGTGTGCGTCCTGTCTGGGGATGCACCCTGTGCTGGACATTGCACACAAGTGAGTTGCAAACGCGCAGACCTCGAGTCTGGCTTCCCTTCTGAGCAGGACGGCATCAGTGTCGCTCATGTAGACGTGTGTCGGTGTGTCCCCTTTTCACGCCGAGTGACGGCCCACCATGCCAGCGGACCTCACTGTGAGTGTCTGGGCTTGTCCCAGCTCTGGGCTGTGAGCAGGGCTTCTGGGGCGACTGTGCTTGGGACCTGCTTGAGGCCGCTTTCACTCTCTTGGGCACGTACCTGGACACAGAATGGCTGGTCACACGGCTCTGTGTCCAGCCCTTTGGGGTCGCCTCTCCTACACGAGGGTGTGCACACAGCCCCAGCCAGCAGCAGACACAGGGCTGGCACTGACATTCAAGGCTTTGGTGGGGCGGCACCCACTTTCTCCCCATGAGGGGCTTGGCACAGCCTCAACAGGCAGCATCATGCTGGGCATCCCGCCCTCCCGACACCCTCTGCCAATGGGGCTGACCTTCAAAACCAGGCCCTGTCACTTTGTTTCCCTCAGTTTCCCTTTCCGTCAGCATGGCAGAGAAAAGGACACTTACAAAGCTTGAGCTTGCTGACGCCCCGCATGGGAAGGCCAGTGCTCAGCTGAGAGCCACCTGCCCTGGCCTGGCACTAGCATGCGCCTGGCCATGGCGGGGACAGTGGTGGCCAGGTCCCCACTGCACGGGTCCTGCCCGCTTCCGGCCTGCAAGTTCCAAGGCTGGTGGCCAACGGTTTATCCACGGGCATCGCCTGCTAAGACCTCGAGGCGGAGTCCCAGCAGGTCCCCAACAAAGGCCTGAGTGGGCGCGAAGGGCTCCCCTGGAACAGGCCTGCAGACAGCAGGGGCCTGGCCTCAAGAGCTTGGGGTCTACTGTCCAGTCCAGCAGAGGTTGCAGAAGGAGGCCCTGGAGCCCGTGCTCTGGAAAGATCTCCACGGAGCCATGGGCCACACCTGGCCCCGCAGAGTTGCTGGCGCCAGGGAGAACCACTCCAGCCCCCATCCCAAAGCCCATCGTGCACGGAACAGCCCTCAGGGAGGAGCCCGGCCCCATCCAGGCAGGAGGCTCAACTTCCAAGCACCCAGGGCTTAGACAATGTCCAGGTGGGCGCTCTGGGAGGTGTGGCCCCAGGCCTCGACCGCTGACGAGCCATGGGGGGACTGAGGCCAGGGTGGGCGGCTGGCCTCCCAGGACCCCTCATGGCGCTGCCCTCAGGACCAGATGCCACCGCCACAGGCCCTCTCCACCCACACAGCGCCGGATGCCTCTGCTGACCCGAGGGGCCCAAAGGTGCCCGATAGCCCGGGGAGGGGTAGGGCCGCTGGCCTGACTGCCACAGTGGGCCGTCTCGTCTCCCTCCGCAGCCCTGGGTGGCCCTGCCCACTCCCTCCTGAGCAGGGTCCTGCAGGCCACCCAGAGCCGAAGAGTCTCCCTGGCCAGCGGCAGCCCTGTGGACCCACACACCCAGCCAGGTCAGGGCCGCGCTCTGAACAGCCGGGGACTCAGAGCCCCGCCGCCACCAGCCTGGGGTCAGAGCCAGGACTCGGCGTGTTCAAGCCAACAGGCCAATGGCCCGGGTTCGGGATGGTTTGGCCCCATGGGAGTGAGGGAGAGACAGAGAGAGGCAGAAAGAGAGAGTGAGACAGAGACAGACAGAGAGACAGGTGGGGGAAGAGGCGGAGAGTGGCCCGGCCGCTCTCCCTGGGTCCTACCTGCTGAGTATGGCTCCTGCTTCTCAGGGTGGATGAACTCCTGCCGCTCGTACTTGGCCCGGATCCACTGCTCTCGCAGGAGTCTGCGGGGGGCAGAGGAGAGGCTGGACGTCGGCTGCCACCCGCCTGGCCCATGCTGGTCCCCGGGCAGGAGTTCCAGGGCCCCAGCCGACGCGGGAGACCCCAGAGAACTGCTGGGTCCAGCATGAGGGGGGTCTGTCCACCGCCTCAGGGGCAGGGCTGGGGGACCACCAGCCTCGATTGTGAAAAGGGTTCGCTAGTCAGTTTCACCTTGTGATTCCGCCTTGAAAAACACACTGAAATGCATTTCATATCCCACACACTCCAGTGGTTCATGGACGTGCCACCCTAACTCCAGAGCATGTGTCACCCACAGGGACCCGTGAACCGTCCCTGTGGCCATCCCCACCCCATGCCTGGCCCTGCTAGGGCCAAGCCTCTCTGCAGACAGTGACGAGGATGCCCCCAGCCCAGGCCCCCCCCCGGGGCCTCCAGCGAGGACTCGCCAGGGAGGCCTGGGAGCACGTTGGTCCCCAGGAAGCTCCGTCAGTCCCGAGTGGGCTGAGCCCCTGGACCTGACAGAGTCCCAGGACCCCCGCCAGGAGCCAGGGCCGGGGCCCACGCAGGCCTCGAGACGCCCCCTCGCAGGGAGGCGGTGGGTGCCATGAGGCAGGGCAGCGGT